CACAGGGAAAACAGGTCCCTCTAAAAGTTGGGAATTGAAGATGCAGAGGAATTCCCAGAAAGGAAAAGCTTGAGACTGGAGCATGCTTTTTACAGAGTCACAGATCTTCAAGATACCTGGTTTTGATGGAAAACTGTTCTGCACTCATACAAATTTATTTACCATGGAAAGTGGTTTCAAGAGGAGTTCTCTGATACAGCTTTAAAGTACAACTTTGCCCTAATTTAACACAGCCTCTTTCCCAGAGACTTATTCCACCAAAAAACTTTGAAAGAACTTTGAAATTGGAGCGAGGAAGTTGTTGTATTCAGAAGAGTGATCTTCAGCCTGTCTCTTCACTGAGCAAGAACAGCAAGGAATACATGACAACCATTCAAGAGAATATTAGAAAAAAACTCAGGGAGCTGCACATTTTTTTTTTTTTGGTAGCAAGCCTCATCCGGCAGCAACAGCAGCAATTCCAGGACCTTCTGGTCCAGAGGCGTGCCAACCTACACAACATGCAGTACTGGCTGTCAATCCAAACCCTGTACTATCAAAGCCAGGCTCTGCTGATGACTCAAAAGCATATCCATCTACATTCAGATAGGTTACCATGGCAACCTCTCTGGCCTAAAAAGAGATGGACCACATTAGTTACTTAGCAGCACCTTTTTGACAGGCGAAACACAAGCTGCTCGCTCCAGATGATGGTTTGATTTAGGATTAAGTCTGTCTGAGAGCTGCTGTGGCGTTCTCTGAAGTGTTAATGACGTAACCCAGAGAGAAGAACTTCTTTGGGGACTTAGCTTCGGATTGTGGCCCAGCACCAAGGAGATTGAGCTATATGGCGGCTTTGCCTGAGAAGCACAAGTTAACAGAACAGTTGACATAACCTTTTTTCTACAGCGTGAAGAAGTCCTTTCTGAAGATCTTCTAAGATCAGCCCAGTCTGCTGAGCTAAGGAGGCCACTCTTGCAGAGGATATGCAGGACACAAAGGATTATTTGAGTTGCCGCTGGCGCAACGCGTCTTCTAGACTGAAGCATCTGTTCAAAGTACAAATATTAAGCCCTGGAAAGGTCACAGTCCCCACGGCTGATGCGAAAGAAGCCTGGAGTTCAGAGAGAAATGCACACGCTCCAAAGGAAAGACTGCATGGCTACAAGGGCTTGTTAGGGTTTAGATCACAGAAGGAAGACTTCCAGAACCTAGGGTGAAGAGGGAAATGGACCCCTCTACTCAATGTCACAAGACTGAGAAGAGAAAAACTGGGATATATTGCCCATAACCACACTCTGCTGTCATGCAGCTGTGTGGCTGAAACAACAACAACAACAACAACACTGTATCTATACTTGAAGCAGGAGAAAGACGTGGAGCCAGGCCAATAGGACACTAAGCATCTTCCATAGACGTACTTAGCTCCTTAACTAGGAAAACTGCTTCATCCCAGAAATGGTAGAAATGGTCTTACTGATATAATGTGTGCTCAGAAAGCCAGAAGGATAACTACTGACACGGATATATACCTTTAAATCTGTGACTGGCAGAATGCTGGGCTGACCCAACGTGCTACCTTCAAACACCAGTTACCTGAGAAGAGATTCCTCACTCGAGTTATGAAGTCCTGGTAAGTGGCAGGAAGTGAGGAAGGTTCTGAAATGATTAGTGCCAGGTTTATCACATCAGTAGTCTATCCACTTCCGTACTACTTCTTGTACAGCAGTTTCCACTACTAGAAATTTTAAAGAAAAAAATGAGAGAACGGGAAGACCTGACAAGTCTTTACTACTCTTTACTAAGTAGAAGCCTTAAAGCATGAATGAAATGTAATTTTCCCTCTAATTTATTGATCTCTGTTCTATTGCTTTGATAAAGGAGAAAGTAAATATGAAAATACAAGTATTTATTTATGATTTTATATTTGTCTGTTGTACCATATCCTCTTGTTTTTCCTTTAGATGACAATTTATTTTTTTTTCCTAATACCAACAATAACAGCCATCAGTCTGTGAAACCCCCTGTTTCTACAGCATGCTTTCTGCTGTAGCCATGCACCTTTGGGATCTTTTGGATCCTTTAGGTTCCAATTACAACCATTTCTGCACTGGTCCTAAGTCTACTCTGTTGACAGCATAGATGTAAATGCACACCACAAAAATGGGAAACAGGAAGGATTGTATTTCTCATTATACAGAGAAAGAGACAGAAGGAGAGGCAAAATAGTCAACCAGGGTTGACTGTAAGGTGAGTTTATGTCCCATCAGGATACTGTAATTCAGTGTTTTCAGAGCTGTAGATTGTGTCACCTTTTATCTACTGAACTAAGAAAACTTTTATATTGTCTTGTTTTCTTTTACATCTGTTCTGTTTCTCAAGTCTGTAAAAAATAATAATGTTTCTCTCAAATCTTATTTCTCCATGCTGGATGCTTTCCTCCTCTTTTTTTTTTTTTTTTTTTTTTTTTTTTTTTTTGGGGGTGTGTGTGTGTGTATGTACTTTTTCCCTCTTTTTTTTTTTTTTTTTTTTTTTTTCCTAAAGAATTCTACTTATTATTGTTCTTTTTGATGCCAAATATTCAGCTTTCTGAGAGGTTTGTCTTTTTGGAAGAGAAAACCAAGTATTTCTCAGGAGCTGGTCTTTGTATTCATGAGAAATATATACAAGCTCCTGATTTAAAGTGGGACACTGAAATGTCAACCTATCCTTAGAAGCTTTTTGAATGATAATAAGAATAATATAACAATTCCCCTCTTGACAGTCCATTCTTTCCTAAAGAAAAAAAAAAAAAAAAGAAAAAAGATGTGATAACTCATTATTATGTGGAACAAAGTAGAAAGAATTAGATTTGAGAAAAATGGTCAGAACCTTTTAAAAGACATTTTATCTTGGCCCAAGCTGTTACATTCCTATATCAGTAAGCTTGGGTACAACAAGCAAAATAAAAGTAGAGCACTATTGAGCACAAGAGCACACATGCGTGAGAACATGGTAATATTTTTAAGTGTCAGAAAACAAACAAACAAACAAAAAAACCACAAACACATGAAAAATACACCACCACCACCAAAAAAGGTACATACTGTAGCATACTGTAATACAGTAACTGGTATAATAAGTTTCTATGAGATTTGTAGTTACTTATGGTGAGCAACAGAGAAATTACTCTGCCACAGCACGTTACCATTCACACAGAATGGCAAAGAGGTTTTAGTGTAAAATATATACATGTATAGTGTGTGCATTTTAGTGTAATGTATTGTGTGTGCACGTATCTTAGGCCAAAGCCTGATGATGCTGATGTGGGAGTCCTTGGGTAGAAGCAGGTGATTCTGCACCTTTGTTACCCTGCAGAGCGTGGGTGTTGGCTTTCCTCTACTTGGGCTAAGAGCTGTGCTCTGATCGCACGCTAAGGCAGAGAGAGAAGCGTCAAAAGTGGCTCAAAGCAACCTCTCAATTTCTGGGGGGATGAGGGGGATGAGAAATGATTGTTTAACACCTTCCATGGCTTTAAGGTGCAATTTCATGGGTGGTTTAATCCAACCCAAGGCTGTGCTGTTACTGAGTGGGGTGGTTTCTCAATTCCCACTGCCACACTTCCAGATCTCCTCGGTATCCGCGTTTATCCTAGCCATACAAATTTATTTACTTTTTACTTATTGTGTGGCTAGGTGCTTCAATTAGTTTGTTTCTGATGTAAAAAGAGGCAGGAGGACTGAATGGCTGGAAGTGGAGAGGCAGTGGGCTGCTATTTTCAGCAGCAACAAACTTCTAGCTTGGTCAAACTGCTTGTGATACTGTGTTTGTAAAGCGGTGATTAGGTTTCTGAGGGACTTTGGTTGTTGCTGTACCTGCGTCCCCACCTTTGGGCGTTTAATTTTACCTTTTAAGCTGAAAGATACTAGAAGAGGAGAAAACGCTGATGGAACAGGTGTTGGTAATGTGGCCTATTTTCCTCAAGGAGGCTGGCCGTGAACTAAAACGATTAAAATATCACAGGATGGAATTAAAACACGAGATAAAGGCCGTACTCTACTTTTTGACCCTTGGCGGGCATTTATGAAACGAAACGAAACCCGACAGCGCGTAAAGAAGCCCCGGTGACGGTTCGGGCTGGTTGCGCGGGCTCCCCTCACGGAGCACACCCACGGCACGCCGCGCCAGGCAACTTTCGGGGGCTCATTTTGGGGCGGAAAACCTTGATTTCGGGGGCCGGGAGGGAACCCTGCCCGCCCGGCGCCCCCTTCAGGACGGGGAAGGCGCCGCCTCCTCCTCCCCCCCCCCCCGAGAGCCGTTACCGGCCTCGCGCCCCGCCCCTCCCCCCGGCGCGCCGGGGCCATCCCGGCCGGCAGCGTCACCGCCGGGGGGCGGGGCGGCAGCGGTCGCCATGGCAACGGCGGGCCCCGCCCCGCCCCTTCCCCCTTCCCCTCCCTCCCTCCCTCCCTCCCCACGTCAGCGCCGTCTCCCGCCCGGGCGGGGTGCGCCGCGTGATTGACAGTTGCCCCGGCAACGGGCTCGCCCCCGCCGCCATTTTGTCAGTTAGCTTTTTTTTTTTTTCCTTTTTCAAAAAAAGCTTTTTTCAAAAATAAAAAACAAAACACCTTCCCGCCTGAATCGCTTGTGTGATATTTTAATTATTATTATTATTTTGTTTTCCCTTTTCCTTTCGCACCTTGCCAAAAAATAATAATAATAAAAAATGGGGAAATAAAATCGTGCGCGTGCCGCCGCCGCGCCTCTCTCCCCGCTCCCTCTCCGTGAGGCGAGCAGCGGAGCCCCCCGGGGTGGGCACGGGGCTGGGGCTGGGGCTGGGCTGCGGCGCCGGTTCGTGAGGAGGAGGAGGAGGAGGAGGAGGAGGAGGAGCGGGCAGGCAGCGAGGGGGAGGAGGTAGCGGCTGGCAGGCGGGGGAGGGAGGGAGGGAGCGAGGAGTTCCCGGGGGCTCGGTACGGCGCTGCGCTTCCCCCCCACCCCTCCTCCTCCTCCTCCTCCTCCTCCTCCTCCTCCTCCCCCGCCCGCCGCTGTCCCCGCGCTGCCTGGCCGGGGCTCAGGCCGCCGCTGCCGCCGCCGAGCCGCTCCGCTCTGCCCCGCTCCGCTCCGCTCCGAGGCGAGGCCGGGCCCCGCCGCTGCCGCCGCCGCCGCCGCCGGGCGCTGCGCAGGTTTGGAACGCGCGCCATTTTGTGAGCGATAGAAAACCCAGCCCGGCCGGGCAGCGCCGCGGATCCGCCCGCCGGGCCGGGCCGGGCCGGGCCCCCCCTTCCTCCTCCTCCTCCTCCTTCTCCTCCTCCTCCTCCTGCTGCTGCTGCCTGGAGGAAGGCTCGCAGCGGGCAGCCCCGGCCGCGGGACGCTGCCTGCCGTGTGCCCCCAGCCGCGCAGGGCCCGAGCGCGGCGGGGCGGCCGGGCTGCGGACCGACAGGGAGGCGCCGCCACCACCGCCACCGCCACTGCTGCTACCACTGCACCGGGCGCTGCGGGGAGAGAGGCCTCGACCGAGCGGGAGGAGCCGCGCACGGAGCTTGGGGCCCGCCGCCCCCCGCACGGGTAAGCCCGCAGCCGGCAGCTGGGGCCGCCTCCCGGCTCGGCTCGGCTCGGCACGGCCCGGCCGAGGGGGGCGCAGCGCGGGGCGGGGGGCAGCCCCGCTGCCATCTTAGGCGCGGAGGACGAGGAGGAGGCGGCGGAGCCGGCAGGGCCCGCGGCCTCTCCCCGCCGCGGCCGGGGATAGGGAGGGAAGGAGGGAGGGAAGGAGGGAAGGGAGGGAAGGAGCTCGCCGCCATCCCCCCGGCCCCGCTGCGCAACGCCCTGCGGGGGGCGGGCGGCGGAGCCGGGCCATCAGCTGGGCAGGCACCTGTTGTGGCCCCGGCTGCGGGGGGCTCCCACCTCCCCCCCCCGGGGCCGCAGCGGGTGCGGGAGGGCTGCGAGCCGGCCCCCGGGGGCTGTCACCCCGCCGGGGGGGTGCGGGGAGGGAGGGGAGCCCGGGCTGAGCAGGCGGCTGGGGGGGCTGCCAGGGTTAAGGGGAGCCCACCTCAGGCTTGCCCTGGCGCCGCCGCGGCAGCAGAAGGCACGATTGGGAGCCCCCCGGCATGTGGAATTTGGAAATTGTGGGTTTTTGCGTTTTTGGAGGCGCAGACGGCTTTGAAGTTGTCGGTTGAGCCCGTCCAAGGGCTGTGTTAAGGGGTTCTTTGATGGTGTGTCTGGGTTGCTGCTGTGACTTAGTTCTCCCATTGCTCCGCGGTCATTGGGGGAAATAAGCATTCATTGTTCTGTAAAATTAACAAAGGCGGAATATCTGGCTGCAAAATAAATCGACAAGCGTGGTTTTGACAACCTACTGTTTTAATCCCGGTGAGAGCGCGGTGACTTTGGCCAGTAGGTATACGCAGAGTCACTTCTACATGGGCACAGTAGCGCTGTAGGGACCTGTCTGAGGACAAGTTAACAACTTGTCTTATAATTGGATTGGTGAAGCTGAAGAATACGTCGATGATGCCTGGTGACAAATAAGCAAACGCGTTGTTCGTGGTGGTACTTAGTTATCTGCGAGTAACTGAGCAGAACTCAACTTACCTCCTTGGATTAGTGTAGCCCAAAGAAGTTTTGGTAAAACTCGTTTCTCTTTTTTCTGTACTCCTCCCAACCTCTGTAGGTTGGATATTTTTGGAAAATTAATTATACTTCATAGAATTAAAATAATAACACTGAAAAAAAAATCTGAATTTGAGCTAGTATTTGCTAGCTACTATCGCTATATTTTTAGTGAACTCTATATGTGTGTATCTATATAGACTATTCTTGTAGGCTATGCTTAATGCTTTTGGCTTATATGAAGCATTTGGAGCCAGAGCCGTTTTATGTGCAGTCTGAAGTAGAACGCATGTGATAAATTTACATTTATTTTGTGAATTCAAAATTGTATCGAAGTTTGTGAGGCTTATTGAGTTGAAATTTTGATTTTTTTTTTTTTTTTAGTGGACTGAATAACTTGTTCAAAATTGAATACAGGGCACACGGACTTCTTAAATCACAGAAAGAGGGCAGTTCCTTCTCTGAAATGGTTGCGTGCATATTTATACATTACAGTAGTTTAATATTGTCTCCAGGCAAAGGGGTAAGAAAGTCTGCTCCGTGATCGGTTCCCGAATCAATACTCAGGTGGGTTTAGGACGCGCCGTTGGAATCCCCTCCCCCATGCTGGACAGTTACAGAGAAGCAGCACCAAGGATAATTTTACCTAATAGCAGCCAAGCATTCTCTGTCTCAGTGTCAATTTATGGGTAGCATTCCCGCACTTGTGTAAAATAAGGATGTAGTAATCAGGAATTTATCAATTTTTAAAGTATGCGGGTTTTGTGTGGGTTAGGAATTAACATGTGATGGCCATAAATGACTTCTAACACTGGTAGATGGTTTACACAAAGTAGAAGAACATGACTGGAGTCAAGTAAAAACTGTCTCTTGTCTAAGCTTTTAAAGTAACATTTAACTAGGACATCCTTCCTAACATGTATGTTGTATTTTAAAACTCTTAATTCCAATAGGACCTTGTAAAGAAACGTGTTTGGCCTAACTGTTTGGTTAGGCTTTGCCTTAATGACCTTACCGTGAGATTTTTGTTATTTTAGCTCAAATGAGTTAGTCAACACCTTAAAATATAACATGAAAAAGTCCCTTCCCATTAGGTTATGCTAACGTGTGTGGAGCTGTACCACCTGCTCGTGCGGTAGTGTGCAAGAAGACCAGTTAATACAACTCATGGAAAACTGTACCTTTATTTGCTGTGATGCTATTTGATGGTTTTACCTGAACTGAAAAAGGGTAGTGACTCTTTCCAAAGAAGCAATTTTCTTGCTATAATTAAATCCTCTCTTCAGTGTTCCTCTTAAGACCTCTTTATTTCAGGTGGTTTTAACCCTGGCTACAGGACTATGGGTTGAAAGTTGCTGTTACAACTCATGTTTTTGAGAAGGAATTGAAGACTGGTGTATATTTAGTCTTCCTGTAGCAATTTTTGATGCCATTTGGACAACTACTTCCCAAAGTGAAGTCAAGATCTTTCCTGGTATCTTTGTTTTATGGGAGCATGGGAGACTTGTATAACTTCTGAAATGCTTTTGTAAATAGATCCTGTTGTTGTAGAATAGGATTATTTACAGAGAACTGCTACTTTTGTCTTCATAACTGAATACAATAGATTATTTGTTAAGTTACTTTACAATTCCATCTCTTTTCCTTTTTCAGTAAGAGTTTAAGGAACTTTTTTTTTTTAAATGTGTAATAACTTTTCTGCTAATCAGACTCAAGTCTGATTAGTCAGACTTCTTTTTTGCTCTAAGACCGAAATAATACAAAAGCCTTTCTGAGCAAATGTTTTTCTTGTAAACTTAAGACTGGGGGAAAAAGTCAACAAGGCTTTGCAGAGAGGAATACTCTCTCACCTCTGTGGATCCTTCAAGAGGAAAGTTATGGGAGCTATAAGTCTACTGAAGTTTTAAAAACAGTGGGAAAAAACCCCACCACCTTTGTGATAACTAGAAACAATTGTTCCTTCTAGAAAGACACATTCTGTATGTACAGTTACATAGTACCCTCTCTTGGAGGTGACACAATATACCCATAGAATTGCAGTGACCTAATCATTAGTTGCTCGTAACAGTTTGATATCCATAGATTAATCTTTTTCCTTTATGTGGAAGGGAGATAAAATTCTGGTTTCATTTCTATTTTATCTAAGCATATATTAAAAAATAGCTCAATTGCTTTTGCCAGTACAGATGTATTCTTTTTTCCTACTTTAGTGCATACATACCCCAGCTTTACTAGAACTTTAGCTCCATTTCCTCTAATACTCGTATTTTTATGAGTCTGGTCCAGTATCTGTAGGTGCTTAATTATGGCTTGCTTGCCTGAGAGCATGGATCACAAAATTGGCTCCTTTTTTTTCTTGACTGGAAAGTACACAGTGATGAGCCTTCCCTTCCCTTCCCTTCCCTTCCCTTCCCTTCCCTTCCCTTCCCTTCCCTTCCCTTCCCTTCCCTTCCCTTCCCTTCCCTTCCCTTCCCTTCCCTTCCCTTCCCTTCCCTTCCCTTCCCTTCCCTTCCCTTCCCTTCCCTTCCCTTCCCTTCCCTTCCCTTCCCTTCCCTTCCCTTCCCTTCCCTTCCCTTCCCTTCCCTTCCCTTCCCTTCCCTTCCCTTCCCTTCCCCTGTTGATAAGGACAGAGATGGGAGCCCCAACATGAAGGACAGTGATGTTATCACATCCTCATTCATTCCCAAGTGTCCTGTCCCTGTGATTTACAGGAGAGCACCAACTGAAGGGCCAGGCAGCTGCAGCAGACAGTTCCCAGTCAGCTTAGCCCAAGACCCTGCAGTATGAATACCCTGGAGCCTCTGAAGTCTGGGCAGTGGCTATTTCAGTTAGCGTGTGTTGCAGACATAATCAGTTTAATTTCTTCTCCGATTTTAGCATTTCTTAAGTTTGAAAGCAGTGAAAAGGCTTCAGTAATTAAAATAGCATAAGCTAGCACTTACTTGGAAACTTACTCCTTTCAAAGTTTCTAGGATCTGTAGCCCTAAGTACCTGAAAGTGAAACTGTAAATGAAAGTGAAATCAGCTCAGCTAAGTGCCACTGTTTGTTCCAGCTGTGAGAAACCAAGCTTTCAATTTAGGTATTACATAAAGTTCCAAAGCTTTCCGATTTTCTTTTTTTCTTTTTTCCCAGAAACAAATAAAGATAAACTGTGATTTGAGTCAGTTAAAGGAAAGGCTAATAAAGTAGTAATACGTCTACATGTTGAGTAGTTTCCTCTTTCTCTTCAATAACTGTTTGGACAGTGAAATAAGAGAGCAATGGATGTGTACAAATTGCTTTCTGATGGCAGAGTTAGTCTTTCAAAACAGAGTTGAAAAAACTCAGAGTGAATTTTGAGTTGCTGAAAAAACCAAGCTAGTAGAATGGCTGGTTGGCACAACCATCGTTAAACGTATTTTTGTGATTAAATCCAAGGTGCCAGCAAAAGTTTTAAATCCTAGTGACCCAAGAACCTATTGTTCATCAGTTTTTTTTGCTTCCTGGCTCCGAATGCGTGCAGCTAGCATTTTTGTGCATTTGAAATCCTGTTTACCTTGATGTGCTCAAATCCTCGGCGGTGTCACTGTGAGCTGCGTAAATTACTAACAGCTTCTCATGTGCTTTGCCAGTGGATGTGGTGCTGAGGAGCCAGCCGGAGCACAGCACAGCACATCCACTTGCTTTACAGAGGGAACAGCTTAAACTGAAGGAAGGGGTAAGAAGAAGAAGAGTCCTGTCAGGTAGGGAAGTTAAAGTGCCACTGCTTACTCAGATCTTTGTTTCCCTGAGCACTGTGGATTTCCTTTACGCTGACTTCTGGTCAGTCCATCCAGGTGTAGTTGCAGCCCTTTGGGTACTTAGAAATACATAACCATATATATACACGCACAGTTTTACAGGACGTGTAAATGAACTACATCTAGGGTATGTGCTTGATTATAGACAGATAAAATTTTAATATACTCTTGCAAAATCT